AAGTCCCAAACCATTAGGCAGCAGGATTTATGAAAAAGGGTTTAAAGAAAACCCTCACATTTCCTGTCTGTTTAAATGTACATTGAAATTAATTGCTAACATAAATTAAGAATCCAAGTTATTTTCATTTGAACCATAACACAATTTCTTGCCTCTCAGGATGGTACCATGACTGTTAATTCTATCAAAGTTCTGTAGAAAACATCATACACTTGGGCCAAGGAAACTAAAATTAATCATTCCGATTTAGATACTTCTGAATCAATTTCATTCACCATCACATGCCCTGTGACAAAGGGGAAACTCTGCCCAGGCCTTCTGGACCAGCTTACTATTTACAGATACATCCAGACTTTCATCCGACAGTTCTCCTGAACCAAAGTTATAGCCATTATGCTTACATGGGCTTTGATCATTTCCATGTCATCTGTGACAAGTGGAATTTCAGCATTTATAAAATTCTGGAGCTGTCTTCAGAACAGATGCCCTTCGGCAGTTTTTTTTTTTTTTTTTTTTTGCTGTCATTATTCAGAATTAGCAGAAAACAAATCATTATTTGGAGCCCTTTTATGGGACCAGACACCCATGATTCGTTACAAATGATAAGGTTTGAGAGCTTTGTCTCTCAGCCTACCTGGGCACAGGGCAAGGTCAGCTCCTTACTCTCAACTGTTTAGGGGTACTGTGTTAGGGTGTGTGGAACCCTAAAGGTCACTATGATAAATGTGCAACTGAAATTAGTATTAACCCTTCTGAAAAGCAATTTGACTTCAAAGTGTATATATCCTTGAAGAGCATAATTCTACTTTGGGGACCTAATGTAATGAAATGGCATCATGGTTATTTATACACTAAAAGTGACATGCAGGAAACTATTCACTGGAACACATTATTTAGACCGTGGTTAACTAACCAATCAGGTTCAATGCAGGAATGGCTAAGGAAATCCAATATTATTTACTGATAATCATTTTAATGGTTCTGTAATATTCTATCTTGCGATAATGTGGAAAATGTTGACATATAAGCTGAATGAAAATATCAGGATATGAAACTGTAGTGTCTGATCACAACTGTATAAAAATACTCTCAAAAGTAAAAAGCTATGAGTTAACAATGTAAACATAGGACCTCTATTTTAAAAAGGAGAATAGAGATGAAATTTCAGTTTCCAAAAAGAACGAACATTATCATAATAAAAATGAGAATATTTCTATTCCTCAAATCCTGTGCTGACGACTTGGGTCAGCTTGGCTATAGCCCTTTGTTTATTTGGTGTCACATGTTGGGCATGTGCTCTGGGTCAGACACGCTGCCAGGTAGGTGGAGACTCGCCACACAGTTTCACCCCGCTGTCCTACCGTGTTAACACATCACTTTCGTGGACCTGGTTTCTGGGCATTTTTCTTTTCCCCTCTTTAAAAACCTAACATTCCACAGGTCCAGCAGATTAACTGCTTCTCCAAGTGAGCATTAATTTGATTTTTCATGAGGCCACGGAGAAGCCAGAACAATGAAAAGACCATAAAAAGGAGAGAAGGGAGGAGAAAAGCTCATAAGCAAAAGCAAAAAAAGAAAAAGAAAAAGGCAGAGAACAGAGCTGCCGTGAGGAAGGGAACGAGGAGCCAGAGCCTCCAGGGACGAGGCTGGGCTGCCTCCACTGTGCACCAACTCCAGCCTGGACAAGTGCCAGCTGTCTGGACGCTCAGTTTGTTGTCCCTCCCCAGCAGCTGAAACAATCCCCCCTGACCACAAGTGTTCATCCTGCAGAATGTTTTAACAGGATCGCGTTGCTAAAATTGCTTCAATGACGTTATGGAAATAAAACAAGCATAATGTGTTTTTCCCTCCTTTGGTTTTTCTAATGACTAAGCAATTAATTCAAATATGTTATCGTCTGCCCAAGTTTGCTTCTCAATTTCAGCCAAGTTAACTGGATCAGACAACTCCACTGTTCAGCGTTTTTACATATAAGTCCGGGAGGGTTCCTTATGACTAACGGGTGGGTCTCTTACACAACCTATTCAACTGCAGTCAACTACTGAGCAGTCAAATCTGTGGCCACACAGGCCTATGAAAAGCACAGCAAGTGAACATCAGAAAATTCAATAAGCACAATATTTATACAGTCTTGAAATTCTCATCAGATCAATTGTAAACTTTGCTCAGTTAAACCAACATCGTTCTTCATTTCACAAGGACGGAGCTGCATTTCAGGGTACAAGCATACTCGACTGGGTAACTCATGTCCCTACTGCTCTCACTCCCCATGTCTGTACATAGTGGTGAAGACTGGAGACCATAGGAGAAAGGACCTGGGGCCTGGGTAAGCCCCATCAGAAGCAGAGACCATCACCAGAAAGTCCAGGATCACTGACGTGGTTTACACCCTGCCAGGAAAGATGAGGTTGCCAAAGTTATCTTTTCCTGGTCAAAGGAACAGCTCCTAAAGTGCACATAGGCACTGTTCTGATGAGCACCAGGAGTCATTTTTGATTCATTCCTTAAAACTGTGGATGATCACCACAATCCCAGGATTTGGGGAGGGTGGGGGTACCAGGGATTGAACTCAGGGGCACTTAATCACTGAGCCACATCCTCAACCCTTTTTACATTTTAGAGTCAATATCTTGCCAAGTTGCTTAGTGCCTTGCTAAGTTGCTGAGGCTGGCTTTGAACTCATGATCCTCCTGCTTCAGCCTCCCAAGCTGCTGGGATTGCAGGTGTGCATCACTGCACCTGGCCAATCCCAGGATTTTGAACTTGGAATAGACCAATAGATAACCAGTAGTTTTGAGGTATTTCAAACTCAAAGCAGTATGGAGCTTTGGAAAACTTGGAATGGAACCACCATTTAATCCATCTATCCCTCTCCTCAGTCTATACCCAAAGGACTTAAAAACAGCTTACTACAGGGACACAGCCACATCAATGTTTATAGCAGCACAATTCACAATAGCTAACCTGTGAAACCAACCTAGATGCCCTTCAGTAGATGAATGGATTAGAAAATGTGGTATATATACACAATGAAATATTACTCAACAATAAAAGAGAATAAAATCATGGCATTTGCAGGTAAATGGATCGAGATGGAGAAGATAATGTTAAGTGAAGTTATCCAATCCCCCAAATACAAATGGCGAATGTTTTCTGATATAAGGTGACTGACTCATAGTAGGGAGGGGGAGTATGGGAGGAATAGACAAATTCTAGACAGGGCAGAGGGGTAGAAGGGGAAGGGAGGGGGCAGGGGCTTAGCAATGATGGTGGATTGTGATGGACATTATTATCCGAAGTACATGTATGAAGACATGGATTTGTGTGAACATACTTTATATACAATCAGATGAAAAATTGTGTTCTACATGTGTAATAAGAATTGTGATGCATTTCACTGTCCTGTATTTAAAAAATAAAAGCAATTAAAAAAAAACTTACCTTATGAGAAGCAGGAGAAAAACTCTGCTGTAACCCCCAGAGGAATACAAAGCCATCATGGAAACAAGGGGAAATGGATTTTCAGATTCACTAGCTCCAGCGCTACTCTTCCTACTGTGGATCTGCTTGAGCCACCCCAAAGGACTTCCCCAACATTTGCTTTCCACTTTTAGAAAGAAGAAACCTCAAGTGGGTGGTGGCCAAATGGGCCACTGCCTTGTAGACTCCAGGGGGCCAAGCAGAGGTAGAACTTGGGAAAGCAACTAGTCCCACAGGAATTCTTAGAGGGAGACGATGGTGCTATATCTATCCAGGGACAAATTCAGAGCAAGGCTTCATGCCTGACCTCCATCTACCTGCACACATACCTGAGCCCCTGGAGAGAGATGGCTATCACAGGGACACAGATGAGCTGGCTTGTTTGAATTGAAACATGAAGCCAGGCTACTTCTGATGGAAATTAGATATCATTTGACGGAGGACTGGTTCTGCCAATTAGGTATATATAGATGTTTTAGTAACTGAGTGAGTGACATCTGAAGGTTTTGACAAAAATCAACCCATACCCCATAGACAAATTACACCCTTTACAACGATTGAAACTTATGATTAAAAATGGTTTAGACGGGCTACTTAAAACTTCAAGATTCAAAAATCTTTTAGATTATAGGTAAGCAAGTGACCACAGATTACTCCTCCTATTTATTAGATGGAAGGTCTGATAACCCTGGAGATTGGTCATTTTCATGGTGTGAAACAGCCACCCTCCAGGTTCAGGTTTTATAAGGCTTCGTTTAAAATGAGGTACAGCTTCTTGCCAGGCACCCAGGCTCAGGGCCCCCCAAATACAGGCCTCTGTTGAAAGTTCTGATAAGGATCTGCCCAAAGACCCCTGGCAGAGGTATGGCAAGCCCAGAGCAGACAGCAACAGATTGCTAGAGACAGCCAGTGATTCAAGGCTCAGGTGAGGACCCAGTTGTGGAACAGGCTGTCTGTTCTCCCACTCGCTAGCTGAGTGACTCGGGTTAAACTGCTTAGCCTCTCTATGCCCCCAGTTTCCTCTCCACAAATAAGGGATCATCATAGAACCTATTTAAGAGTTAAGTGGTACTTGAAAGTACTAATTTCATGGAAAACACAGGGCCTGGCTTGTAATAAATGTTAATTATTATTATTCTAACGTGAGGTGGCCAATCAGAATGATCAACTATCGATTGCAGACAACTGTTTGAAATATACAATCCCATTGTTCCCCAGTTCTCTACCCCAGCAGAGAGCTCCTAATTCAGACAATAATGAAGAGCATTCATATGGCAAACATCAGTTAAACTTACCAGTGATTGGACTTGTGCATCTCCATCCCTATTGCCAGTAAGATTTCTTATTATATAACTTATTTAAATGATCATGGTTAAGTAGTGTAATTATATCAAGGCCCCATGAAGTGGCTCAAACTGTAATTGTGTGTCATCAACTAGCAATCTTTGAGACGAAAAACGCATATATTAGAAAACAGACAGCTACAGAATAGGGAAAGGAGGAAATAGTAAGACACCCACCTATTAGAAGAGAAAGACCGGAAGTTGTAAGGCTCCGAAGCAGTGTGTGTGTTCCAAGGAGAAGAGTCAGGGGAACTGCTGAAGGAAGGAAAACCCACTCACCAAGCTGTATGGAGGGGGAAGCACTTCCCCCTGCCTGCTGTTCAAAAGTTCTCCATGCTGATGGATGGGTGGGTGTGAGATGGATAGATTTTGACAGACTGTTTAAAAATCCATCGTTTGCAATTATATTAAAACAAAAGATCTTTTTAGTTCAAACACATGACAGTTTTCCTTTGCATTTTATCTACAGTGATTTTATTTTTTGGTGGTTCAGCAAGTTGAACCTAGCTCCTGATACGTGCAAGGCACATATACACTATGTCACTGAGCTATACCCCCAGGTCCTCTGCCTCTTATATAAATACTTGTCACTGATCAGTCAGTGGTCAGGGATTTAGTTTAGGCTACATCTGTCCGCTCTGACTACACCCCACAAGCTGGGCAGAAGACATGTCACAGAATGCAATTAAGGTGCTGTGTTCTCCCCCAGGTTAACCTCAAAAGGGCCCCACACGGGCAAATCTACCTGTTCTCCTTCTGCGGTTCTGCTTCCTTCTCCTTGGTGGGTAAGGGAGAATCCTCAAAGTCATAGGAGAAGAGGTGGAAGGGGCTGTGGGGCACGTAGGGCAGCTTGTCTGTGGTTGGCGACACCTTCAGTGTGGTGGAGGGGGGCCGAGAAGCTGAGGCAGGATTGGGGGGTGGCAGGAGGGCAGGCCGGGTGGCCTCAAGCCCAGAGGATGCTCTGTGCAGGAGATTCCCTGCTGCTGTGCTGGTTGGGATCCGTTTTTCCTGTAAGGTGTCACTTGAGGTGTCTGGGAGCGCCGAACTCTGGGGAGCAGTACCCTTCTCAGTGGTGCCCTGCTCTAAGGCAGGACTGGTATCTCTGTTGGCCCGGCAGGAGAGGGAGGCAGGAGAGGGAAGAAATTTGGGAAAAAAGAATCAAAGTTAGAGAGAGAAAGAAAGACATATGTAAAACCCACTCTGTGGTAGCCATTGACTCCAGTTCCAGCTGTGTTTCTTGAGCACAGGATCAACACCCATCACCAGAAGCTTCAGATTGTCTGTCACTCTTGGCCCCTGGATTGCCCAGTTGGTTGGCTGGGGGTTAGAGGTGCAGGGAAGCATCTCCCAGAACAAGTCTGGGCTCTGGGCTCTGGGAGGGATTTGTGAGAATCTTGAAGGCTCTCCTGCGTCACTCCCTGCTGCTTGTGTTGGCACTTGAATTTCCACAGTTTGAACTTCATCTATTTGTCTTGGTCAAATAGAGGATCTGTCCTCCTGCTAAAAAGCCCAACCTTGAAGTATCCAAAAGGCCTATCTATAACTGCTTTCAGAGCCTTTTTTTGAAACAGGTATAGAGAGGAGAAAAAAAGAAACGCCCATGAGGAATGAGAGCCAAGGAGGTGGTGTAGGGATGAGGGGAGAGATTTCATGCACTGCACTCTCTAGTGCCTGTCACCAAGCCTTCAACATCTGGGCTTCTCCAGAAAGGCCCAGTTATAGACCACGGGTCCCACACACATAGACCCAAGTGGTAACTATGGGTGGTGGTGGACGCTTGTTCATTTGATTATGATAATCAATATACAATGTATAGACACATCAAGTCATCATATGGTATGCCTTAAACATCCTCAATTAAAAAAAAATCTTCCTATCTTTGGGGACTGGCTTTGGTAACTTGAATACTTTAACACATACCTTTACCACCTGAGAAATGGGGTTAGAGTCCACAATTTTCAAAACCAGAGCCCTCTCCAGGAGAGCCTGACTCCCAGTCATGAGCTTTGAACTGTTTCCTTTCCTACCTCCAGTTCAGAGATGCACCTGTCTAAAGGGGAAGTTTTCCTTGGGTTGATGGGAGGAGCTCACACTGCCATGCTATGGAGTGCATAGCACCATGGGAACACGGGCGTGAGCATGTAGTAAGTAGGATCCAGCAGGAAGACAGAGCAGGAGGGAGATCAGCCCTGCATAAGTGGCAATCTCTTCTGGCACTTTAAGTTTCCACTAAGTAGCAACATCTAGATCAAAGTTAATGCACACGTAGGTATTATGATTAAACTCCATGTTTAATGTGCACATTTTTATTTCCTAAAATTGAAAGGCCTAACTAGTCTCTGATGAAGGACGCCCTCCAGCATCACTTCAAGAACTAAGGTGAATAATCATCTACCTGCGAAGACAACAATCCTAGGCGAAGGCAGCACATCATCACTAGGGATGTCTCTGAAGTTTGCCCTTTTCAGCAAGATTATTCTAGCCAGTCTACAGGTCCTGAACCATGTGAATATCTGCTTGTCTTTGGATGAGACTAAACACTCACTCTTAAGCACACTTGGAGTCATACTAGTCTATTTATAAGAGTCTACATACTTTCCTGTGACTCATTTTCAAAGTAAAGTGTACTGTCAACCAAACTTCCTTCCCAGAGGACCCATAACTAACCTGGTACATCAGCATGGGCCATGGGCTGTTTCCTGCTGACCCTCCTCCCCTCTAATGTATGTGACTAATTTTCTATCATTTCTTTCTTCTGTCCACATCCTGCTAGGTTTTTTGCAGATATTTCAAAGGGGGAGGGGAGGCACTCATTAGTTTCTTGGTTTGGAGAGGAGTCAGTGATGCTGGGAAATGGTAGAAAACTCAGAGACAAAGACTTACACATGCACAGACAGCCCAGCAGATGAGGGACCCCATGAACATTGAGGTTGACAAGAGAAATATTTTGCTCTAATTCATCTAAGATCCTTTTGATTTTGCTCATTTGTAGAAAAAAATGTTAATTTGCAATGGCAACCAACTAAATGAAGGAAGCCATTCGATTTCAGAATAATTTTTGAATACTGGAAAATGACATCCTTTTTTTAAATAAAAAATTTTTGAGAAAATGGATACAAGTTTTTAAAACATTACAAGGTACCTGAAGACAGAAAAAAAAAAAAAAGCACTTTACTGAGGTGAACAGAGGACAGCAAACTCACCCCAAAGTCTGCACAACTATGTTAGTGATTCTGGGCATAAAAAATACCAGAGTGAAAAATATTCCTGTCTGGTTGGATAAAAAAATCATACGTGAATCATTAACACAGTACTCATCCACACACATTATCTAACATTGTATTAGCAAAATCAGCAGGAGGAAGGAAACACACATCTTACATGCTAACAGACCTAAAATCTTAAAGATGGGTCGTTTCAGTCATTGTCAATCTGGTTGAACTAAAGCACTTAGGGAGGGAAGAATAGGAGAAAACCAATTGCATAATTTTTCCATAAATTATGGAAGGCAGGAGTTGAATTACAAAGTGCTATTCTCAAATGAAAATGTGCTCAGTTATTTCCACAAGATTAGTCATTCTGTGGTTCCGTGCACAGGGTAAGTGCAGGGGCGGAGATTACTAAAAGGGGTGGCAGCAAACTGTTGTTAAGGAGGAGACTTAGGTGTTCAGTGTGAGCCTGGGAGGGTTCAACCCTTGGTACCTGTCCTTGCCCTGGCACTGGGCATCGTCCTCTCTCTCCTCCTCTGAATTGGGTTCCGTGACTGGTTCCTCCTCCTCATCCCTGAGACAATGCCAGGAAGAGAGAAAGGCACACAGAGACAAGATGGAAAAAGCAAGATGAGCATTACAGACAGAGATGAGACAAAGCAGCAGGTCCAGCTGGCCGAAATGAAAAGGAGCGTTCTCGATCTGTTAGGAGAGTGAGTTCTGAGACGAGGAACGTTACTTGTGGGGAAGAGACACCATAACCCAGAAGAGGTCAAATTTCTTGGTCAAGTTGACCGGATCCCACTACCTTGCACAACATCCTGCCCGCCGCTACCCCCACCATGGGACTCTGAGCCTCCTATGTGGTTTCCCCTTCATACAGAATCATCATGTTCTTGGTGATGACCAGTTCCTCACATTTTCATCATATCCCTCTTGGTTAGCAACCATCCAGGAGCAGGTCAATCTGGCATTAACTAACCCTGTGGCGGACATACAACTTTGGATGGCCTCTCCTCATTCTCAATGTGGGGTTCCAGGGAAGCCGATCCACCTGCTCTTCGAGGGAGGGTACACATATTAGGTGAAGTTTCTCCTGGTGCTTTCAGGAATAACTCACACCACCCTGAGTCTGGAGCTGCCTGAACCTTCTGATGGGAGAAGGTGGCCTATACAAAAGCCCATTAAAGAAAAGCAAGGCTGAAAAGGGAAGAGGAGAATGTAGCTCTGCTATAGCCTTTCACAGACTATCTTAAGCAAAAAAAAAAAAAAAAGAAGAAGAATTTAAGTTAGGTTTTATCCTTGCAGCTAAATGTGTATAAACTAAAGATTCTGATAGCTGTGTCATTACCCTCCTTCAGTCTCAGCCCAGACAACATCTGACTTACATGGCTGTCCTTGGAGAATACCTGAGCAATGCCCTGCCGGGCTTCTCAATCCCTTGCCTTCCTGAACTGCAGGGATCTTTGCCTTTTCTCATATCAGCCCTTTACACTTTGGATCTCAACATACAGAACTAGTCCACCAGGATATTCGGCCATCCTCCTCCCCAACCACAGCAGCCACCCACCCAAATCCTTCACCTGCATAGAATACCTGTCTCTTCTATCTGCCTACCATCATCTTCCTGCCTTCAGGCATCACTTTATCAAGATGTTCAACCCCTCTGCACCGTTCTCCTTCAGCTGTTTTTATTACTGAAGTATAAAATATGTACACAAATCACTGAGCTTTCACAAAATTCCCTCTTCTAATCAGCACCCCCTTCACAGCCCGTTTCAGTTGCTTCCATTCCCCCAACTTGTATCAAAGAGCATGAGTTATTTGCTTGCTTTTCTTATCTAAAAGGAATCATACTGTGTGTAGTTTCGTTTGTTCAACATCTTACTTGTAGGATTCATCTATATGGTTGTGTGTATTTAAATACCAGGCATTCTCATTAATACATAGAACGATCCTATGTATTAGTGAATATAGGACAGTTTAGTTATCCTGAATATACCACAGTTTTGTTATCCATGCCACTGCAGATGATATTTGGGTACTTTTCAGTTTTGTTATTTTAAATAATGCCTATTATGAACATTATAACGCATGACTTCTAATGAACATGTGAATTTATTGCTGTGCTGAATACATCCAAAGACAGGATTTGGGGGTCATAAGATATGCTCGAGTTCATCTTTATTATTTTTTAAATGATAAGGCTAATTTACACTTCCATATATATGAGTATTCTGGTTTTCCACATCCTTAAGATTTAATATTTTGTTTATTTTAGCCATCTGAACTGTGCTGTTTTCTTGTGGTTTTAGTTTGCTTTCTCAGATGACTAATGAATTTGGGCACATAGTCATACTTTTAATGTCCATTTGGGTATCTCCTTTTTTGAAGTATCTTGCCTATTTTTTCAAAACTAGATTGACTTTTCTTTTACACTTGAAGTTTTTACATAATTTGAATATAAGCCCTCTGGCATTTATATATGTTACAAACATCTTTTCCCTGTGTTGCCTTTGTGATTGCTTCATGATGTCCTTTTAAATGAGTAGAAGTTATTAATCTTAACAAGGTCCTATTATTTATCAGTGCTTTTGTGCACTGTGTTCTAAATTTTTTTATTCTACAAAAAAAATCAGCATACTCTAGTGATACATGCATATCAATGTTTATAGCAGTGCAATTCATAATAGCCAAGTTATGGAACCAGCCCAGGTGCCCGTCAATAGAAAATGTGGCATATGTACACAATGGAATTCTACTCAGCCATAAAGAATGAAATTATGTCATTTGCTGGTAAATGGATGAAATGGAGAACATTATGCTAAGTGAAATAAGTCAAAGTCAAGTCTCAGACTCAAAGTCAAGGGTCCAATGTTCTCTGGTATGCAGAAGTTAGAGAAAGGAATTTTTTTTTTTTTTTTAAGGTGAGGATCCCAAACAGTGGCATAGAGGAAAGGAATTGAAGGTAAGAAGGGATAGAAAAGGGGAAGAACAGAGGAGAGAAACAGACCACATTTTTCTAAGTACATGTATGAGTATATTACAGTGAATTCTACCTTTATGTGTATCTATAGAGCACCAAGATAAAGGAAGGAAGGAGGGAAGACCAGTAGAGAAGAGGAAGGGGAGTATGGTTAGAGAGGAGGGGAGGAAAAGTGGTAGTAGTAGAGATTAAAGTGGAGCAAATTATGTTACGTACAGATATGAACACATCAAAATGAACCTCACTACTATGTATAACTATCATACTAATAAAAACTGACATTTTTCTTGCTTATATCAAGGTTCTAAAGCTATTCTGTCCAATACTTTTCTATGTATTTATCAATATGATCTTCCCCCTTTTTCTAAGATGTAAGAAATTACAACTGCATTTTTTAAAACTATTAAACCAAACCTGTGTACACCAGGACAAACCCCACTTCATTGGAATCTATTATCCTCTCTGTGAGGTTGGGTTCTGAGCTGTAATCCCCATTCCTTAAAATGTGTAAAGTTTTGAAATCAGTCACACAGGCTTCAATACAGAGGCTGGTAGGGGGACCAGCTGCGGAAACGAAGAGGAAGGGATGGACCTGGAACAGGATTAAAACAGATGATTCAGTTGAACCTGGTGACCAATTAGATGTGGCAGAAAGGAAGAGGGAAGCCCCGACAAAATCTCATGGCCATGTCTCAGGAACCTGGCTGGCAGGACCTCCATCGGAAGCAAGGAGACCAGGTGAACAATGAGGGTGGCATGCCTCCTGTAATGTCAGAGCCCTAACTATACATTTCATCTGTTGTTCCAAAAAAATGGCACAGCATGCCCTCACAGCCGCCCCTTACCAGCCACAGTCCTTGTCTCCTCCATTTCAATAGCACCAACCTCAAACTGTCCTCACCACCTCTAGCCTGAAGCCACCTTCCCTTAGCTTCATCAGGCATTCGCAGATGTTATTACTTCCAGTCTACCCAGAAAGCACTTGACCTTGCCAACTCCATGGGTCTCTCCTCTTTAAATCAAAACACTGTACCCCACCCTCCAAAATGACTTGATTCCATTTACTAACCCAGGTGTGGTTGGAGAAGTTCTCAGCCAGGTTGCTTGGTTTGCTCTCCAGCCCACCACTTCCCAGCTGCACCCATGTGGGGTAGATCAGTACCGGACTCCTGAGAGGACTGCACTAATATGCAAAAGACTTGGCTCACAGTAAGCACATCAGCTTGTCTTAGCTGTTAACTAGGATCATCTTTGTCTCCATCATCTTCAGGCCCTGAGGACAAATCTAACCTCCCCCACCAACACCACTCAGCTTCATGGCCCCAAGACAGAAGGCACAGTCCTCTGTGAGCCTTTCGCACCATGGATAGCAACACTTTCCCTTTTGTGACCTCCACTTATGTTACCCGTTTTTCCCATTCTTCACCCTCCAATATAGCTACCTTGACCTACATCATAAGCTCTTTGGGATCCATATTCTCAACTCCTATGATAAATAGCAAGGTTACATCATACACTTGTCACATGACTATCACTAGCGACCGGCCAGGACTAGTGGCTGGGAAACCTTCCCTTGGGATCCTTTTTATTGAAAGCAATTCAAGATTTGAGGCAACTCAAAGGCACAGAGTTTCCAAAGTTAATTTAACTTTCTAAAATTTGGGTCTCAGGTTAATGTCATGTCTCAGGCTTCAAAAACACAAGCATGATATAAAACACATCATGATCTAAAAGTGGCGCTGCTATACCCAAAGGTAGCAGTTCTGAACCAGGTCAATTCTGTGTCCCCTACCTGTCCCCACTCCAATCCTCCATGGGATATTCATTAATGCCTAGGGACATTTTTAGTTGTCACCTCTGGGTGGAAGGGAGCTACCGACTAGTGGTAGAAGACAAGGCAGAAACACCCTACCATGCATAGGACAGTCCCACAGCAGAGGATTATTGGGTGCAAAATGTCAACAGTGCCAAGGTTGAGAAACCTTCCCTTGGGATCCTGAAGTGCATGTAGAGTCTAAGAATGTTCTCAGTGGTGCTACTTGGAATTGTCAAAAGCTGAAAATGACCCAAATGCCCATCAATGGAAAAAATGAAAGAATGTGATCTACTCCAGGTGGTAAAAAATGGATGACGGCTTCCTATGACGATGCATATGACCAAAAAAAAAAAATATGGAGGAAAAGAAGGCCAAACGAACACACAAGGCACATTTTTTTTTAAAAGTTAAAAAATGCAGAGTTGTATAATACGTTATTTACATATATCTACATAAGATAATGCTAATAAATAAAAACATGAGTCTACAATAAACATATTTAGGAATGTTGGTACCAGGCCTAGGGATGGGAGAGTGAGCAGAAAGGGATAAATTTGGGGTAATGCTGTAGTTTTTAATTAGGTCAGAGTCTGATATTCTTTATATTAATATTCTGTAAAATAAATCCAAATCCATATAATTAGGATGTTTTTAAAAGTAAGTCATTAGTTACACATGACAGTACAAAAAAAAATGAAGAAAAAAAAAAGTCATGCCAGGCAAGGTGGTGTACTCTTGTAATCCAAGCAGCCTGGGAGGTTGCAGCAGAAGG